TCCAACGACCATTTTCTGATGTTATTTTTCTATTTAATTAAGTTTTGATGAAAAATAAAAAAACACACAATTACAAAATTCGAAAATATAAATTACATTCAATCAGTTTTGAGAAAAGAATTCTGAGAAAGGTAACAGAGATATTTTACACCTTTTGAGAAAACCATTTTCTCTACTGCCTTCTGTGCTTTCATTGTTAATCACACTTGTTCTTGGAGATTGACATTCTACAGGCTTCTACAATTTGTTGTCTCCATTACCCAGGTGTGTCTGTTCTTATTTTTATTACCTTCATCCTTTTTGCATTGGTGGAAAAGGAGGTGTTTTTCATTCCTAGTGTGATTCTAGGGAGGTGTTCATCCTTAGTGTGATTCTAAGGAGGTGTTTTCATCCTTTGATTTGTTCAGAGGAGGTGTTCATCCCTAGTGAGATTCTAGGGAGGTGTTCATCCTTAGTGAGTTTCTAAGGAGGTGATTGTCTTTTTAATTAGTTTACTTTTTACTGGTTCTTCTGCTGAGTTGATTGTAATTTGTAAACTGAATTTGAAAGATAGTGAATGGGGAGTCACTCTTGTGTTAAGAGTTGACTGGGAACTGGATGTAGGGTTGGCTATACCCGAACCAGTATAAATCTCTGTGTGTTATTCTCTTTCCCTTGTCTTTTTTTCTTTTCCTGATTATATTATTGCTTCCGCTTTAACAAATTATTGACTCATAAATAAATTTTTAATTTGACATCTATTTTAATTTGTGCATCTATTCACCCCCCTCTAGATGCCATTTGTCTAACAAGTGGTATCAGAGCTTGGTTAGATAAGATATTTCTAAACAATCTGTCAAGATGTCTATGCAGAATCAAGTTTACAGGGAAGGAGCTTCAATAACCAGACCACCATTATTTGAAGGAGAAGACTATCAGTTTTAGAAGGCGAGAATGGAAATATTTTTACAAACACTAGATTATGGTGTTTGGGATGCTGTACTCAATGATCCCTACATTCCGATGAGAACAACGGAGTCTAGAGCTGTTCCAAAGACTTTTGATCAATGGACGCAGGATGAAAATAAGCGTGTCCATTATAATGTAAGAGCCCGAAATGCTATTGTTTTTGCCTTAACTCGTAATGAATTTTTCAAGGTCTCACAATGCAAGACGGCAAAAGAAATATGGGACACTCTTGAAATAACACATGAAGGAACAAATGAAGTAAAGTGATCACGTAAGAATACACTCATCCAGGAGTATGAATTATTTCAAATGCAGCAAAATAAAAACATCACGAATTTCCAAACACGCTTCACACATATAGTAAATCACTTGAAAGCATTAGGAAAGAGTTTTGACAATGAGGAGTTGAACACAAAGATCTTGAAATCCTTAGACAGGAATTGGCAACCAAAGGTCACTGCTATTACAGAATCAAAGGATCTCACAAAAATGAATATTGCTACTCTATTTGGAAAACTGCAAGAACATGAGATGGAGCTACAAAGGTTAAAGAACGGTGAACAGAATCAAACCAAGACAATAGCTCTAAAAGTAGAAAAATCTTCACGAGACGAAAGCGAAAATGAAGGTAAGTTTTCGGATTCCGATATGTCTCTTTTTGTTAAAAAAATTTATCGCTTTATGAATAACAGGAAAAAGAGACAACAAAGAAAGGAGAAAACAAATAAATTTCATTGCTATGAATGTGAAAAACCTGGTCATATCAAATCAGACTGTCCGGAACTTAAGAAAGAGAAGAAAGATGTGAAAGAGAAGAATGATACCTATAAGAGCAAACGCAAAGCTTATATTGCTTGGGAGGATAATGATTCTTCCACAGCACAAGAGAGTTCTTCTGAAAGCAGTGATAGAGAAGAAGAAGCAAATCTTTGCTTGATGACAAAAAGTGATGATGAAGCCTCATCACAGGTAAGTAGTACAAATTCCTTAAATGAATATGATGAGTTATTTAAAGAATATCAAGATATGTATGAAGGTTTTACCAAGTTATCTAAGAAATACAATGCACTTATGCAAAAGTTTAATGCATTAGAAAATATTGTTGGTATTCTTGAAAAAGAAAATGAGTGCTTAAAGAAAGATGTTGAGAAATCTAAAACTTTGTCAAAAAATAAAGAAGTTGTTAAATCTTGTGAAAATTGTAATCTTTTGGAAAATGAGATTTTCAAGTTAGAGAAAATAATAAGCAATTTTTCAAAATCTTCTGAAAATCTTGATTCGATATTAGGTTATCAAAGAGGAAATTATAGCAAAGCTGGACTTGGTTACAAACCTAAAGAAAGTCTAGAACCTCATAAAACTATTTTTGTGAAAGAGTCAAGGAAAACAGATGTGAAACCAGTTTCAAAAACTTTAAGAAACGCATTTAGATCTTTTCAAAGAAAATCAACATGTTTTTATTGCATGAAATTAGGTCATATATCAAATAGATGTTACATAAAACATTTTGGCATATCTAATGGCAAATATGAATGGGTGCCTAAAGGAACAAAACATATATACATGTCTAGATGATAATTTGAGTATCTAATTCATTATCAGAATCGGAATTTTTTTCTTGTTGTCATAATCAATTATGTTGACCAACTTTGAAATTTGAAAGTTTGAATTTTGAAAATTTGAATTTATGAAAATTTGAAATTATAAAGTTTGAAATCTTGTAATTTGAGATTCTAAAAATTTGAAATTTTGCAGTTTGAGATTTTTTTAAAAATTTACAGTATGAGATTTTTGAAATTTGAAATTTTGCAATTTGAGATTTTTGAAATTTGAAATTTTGTAGTTTGAGATTTTGAAATTTGAAATTTTTGCAGTTTGAGATTTTTGAAATTGAATTTGAATTGGAATTTGAAATTTGAATTTGAAATTTGGGATTAGAAATTTGAATTTGAAATTTGGAATTGGTTGGAATTAGAATTTGAAATTTGGAATTTGTTGCAATTTGAATTTGAAATTTGAAATCTAGAATATGAGTGCATTTGAATTTGAAAGCTGCCTAAATAAGAAGACTGTAATGGAGGAAAACTACTGCATTTAATTCTATTATCTCTATAATCATTTTATTCCCCTATCTTTCTCTCTCTTCATTTGTCTTGGATATCCTAGATATTGTTTCCTTAATATGATATTCTTCTCTATGACACTTTGTAATGCATTATCTTCTCTACCTTGATTTATATACTAATATGTGCAAATTTGTTTTCAGTTTCTATTGCAATATTTTTCATAATTATCAATGAAACAGGGAGATATTTTGATGATATTAATCTGTGTGAAATAGGGGGAGATTTTTCTCTTATAATATTTTTATAATTATCAATGAAACGAGAGAGATATTTTGATGATATTAATCTGTGTGAAACAGGGGAGATTTTTTTCTCTTTTAATATTTTTTATGATTATCAATGAAACGGGGGAGATTTTTTGATGAATTAAAATCTGTGTGAAATTATTTCCTATCTAAATTAAACAAGGGGAGTTAAGAGAAGTATTTGTTCATATGAGTTAGAGGGAGTCTTGTTATTAATATATCTAGGCGGAGATTAAAAGACTCGACACTTGATACAAATCTGTGCTAATCTTTAGCTGGCTATATAGAGTCAAACATTTTAATTCATTTTAGGTGTTTCCTTGATCATCATCAAAAAGGGGAGATTGAAAGAAATGAGGGGAGATTGATGGAAATGTTCCTGCATTCCCAAGAGATGATTTTGATGATGATTCAAGTCAACTACATTCAAGTCAACACCATTCAAGATGAATTTAAGGACAAGCTTGAATTTATGACGTAGGTGACAATGATAAAGATGATGATTCAAGCAAGCCCAAGATGATTCCTGAAGACTAGATAGAGTCTTAGAATACTGGATATGGAGGTACAAGTTGATGAAGTAATATTATGCATAAGTCTCCAAAGCACAAGTGTGATAAAATTCATAACATGATATTTTTCACTGTCATAATTAATTATGATGCACCAGAAATGGAAAAATGATTTTCTCTATCATAATTAATTATACTGGTAATATAATCAATTATGAAAATTCAAATTTGAAAATATATCCGTTTTAAAGAATAAATATTTTTGAATACATCCTGATTTTCTCTATGATATTATTAATGTCCAACGACCATTTTCTGATGCTATTTTTCTATTTAATTAAGTTTTGATGAAAAATGAAAAAACACACAATTACAGAATTCAAAAATACAAATTACATTCAATCAGTTTTGAGAAAAGAATTCTGAGAAAGGCAACAAAGATATTTTACACCTTTTGAGAAAACCCTATTCTCTACTGCCTTTTGTGCTTTCATTGTTAATCACACTTGTTCTTGGAGATTGACATTCTACAGTCTTCTACAATTTGTTGTCTCCATTACCCAGGTGTGTCTGTTCTTATTTTTATTACCTTCATCCTTTTTGCATTGGTGGAAAAGGAGGTGTTTTTCATTCCTAGTGTGATTCTAGGGAGGTGTTCATCCTTAGTGGGATTCTAAGGAGATGTTTTTATCCTTTGATTTGTTCAGAGGAGGTGTTCATCCTTAGTGGGATTCTAGAGAGGTGTTCATCCTTAGTGGGTTTCTAAGGAGGTGATTGTCTTTTTAATTAGTTTACTTTTTACTGGTTCTTCTGCTGAGTTGATTGTAATTTGTAAACTGAATTTGAAAGATAGTGAATGGGGAGTCACTCTTGTGTTAAGAGTTGACTAGGAACTGGATGTAGGGTTGACTATACCCGAACCAGTATAAATCTCTGTGTGCTATTCTCTTTCCCTTATCTTTTTCTCTTTTCCTGATTATATTATATTATTGCTTCTGTTTTAACAAATTATTGACTCACAAATAAATTTTTAATTTGACATATATTTTAATTTGTGCATCTATTCACCCCCCTCTAGATGTCATTTGTCTAACATTAATCAACTTAGCTACTCAAAATAACAAAAATCCCTCACCCGTGAAAGCTAAAGTAGCATCACAAGCAGGAAATTAATTTAAATTCAAATAACTCCACCAACAACCAACACCACCACCACCAACAATAACAACTACAACAACACCACCACCACTAGCAATAACAACTCCCTCACTTCGACCATACCTCTTACAATGACTTTCTCGAGCAAATGCTCTCCTCCTGCTCCTGGCCTGACCTTAACCCAAACAAGCCCTTGTGGGACTACAACCCCCCTAGTTAATAAAACAAACCCTAAACTGATTCACACTGATTAAGAAAATTAGTAAACAAGTAATCCCTAAACCCCAAATCAATAGGAAGAAAAACATTATCTCTATTCAATCTAAGCTAATTGTTGTTTAATCGGAACAAATTTGGAGCAAGATATCCAACAAATTCTAGAGTTAAGAGAAGCGAAAATGGAGATGCATCAATAAACAGGAAAAATGAAGTAGAGCAAAAATAGGAAAAATGAAACAGAGTGAAGAAAGAACAAGATAAATTACCTTCCATGGTGGGATTGGTATAGAAGATTTGCAAGCTTCAATAAACAATAAGAAATGAAAGATCGACGAAGTAAATGTGAGAAAGTATAAATATTTTGGAGGTTGGTATAAATGATTTTAAAAAATAATAATTTTAGTTTAAATTAAATTTAATATATTGTTACTCATTTTTAAATTTAAAAATTAAATTAATTATTATCAATAATATTATATCAACTTTTAAATTAAAAAATTGTAGCAGTTTAAAATTTTTGCCAATAATTATATAATTTTGTGACGGTTTATAAAACTTAAAAAAAAATACCTTTACTAATTAACTAAATTTTTGTAGTGATTTACCCAATCCAAAATGTTCTATTATGAATTTTGTGGGACTTTATACTAATAACTTTAAATTTGATGTGGTTTATACATAGTGGAAATAAAGGAAATTTTCTAAGTAATTATATATTGTAGGAAGTTGATATGTTAATGAGTTTAGATGATGTTAACATGGTAGAACATATTATTTATAATTTAACTTATTGTAATAACACCTTTATAATGGATGAGATGAAGTTTTAGTTACACATAAATATTTTTGTCATAACTTATAAATGTGGTATGTAGTGATTTTGTATTTATTATTGTAGGTATTTGTTATGAGATTATTTACTCAAATAGGTTCAAGTGGTTGTGTTTAAGTTTGGATTTGTGATTGTTATCTTGAGATTGGATACACTAAATAACCATAAAGAAAAGAAGACATATATATTGTTGAATTGTGAAAAAGGTGGTAAAAATAGGAAATACAAAAACTTAATTGTTACTAAAAGTAGAAAATATGAGTTTCCCTTTAAATTATGAGAAAAACCTTTAAATAATGGTAAATGATTGATTTTGAAGTTAGTTTGTATAAGTTATAATTATGACTTAATCAATATGTTGGTAGGTCATCTATATGATTTTAGATTAACAAGTAATGAAAAGTTAATGTTTATTGATATGATAAAAAGTTTGGTGAAACTTGAAAATTTGCTACTTACTTACAATGAAAAAAGTGTGACAAATATAAAACAAATGTATAATGCAAGACATATAAATCCTGAAAGTGTAAGAGGACATAAAAATGAAATACAACAACTAATGAAGTTATCAGAACAAGACATGTATATTCATTAACATATGTTTGACGAGAGTACAAATATTGTAATAAATATTTTTTTTAACACACCCTGATTCAATAAAATTATTGAATGCATTTAACATAATATTGATGATGCATAATACTGCACTTGAGATTACTCATATAACATCCACTAGAATGATGTTCTTTATTACATTTGTCATATTATGCATCGAACGTGAAAGAAACTATGTGTGGACTCTTGAAAAAATTAGATAATTGTTTCTAAGAGTTTATTCACTCTCCAAGCATTGGTTTATGATAAGGATTTGACATTAATGAATATAATCATAATTGTGTTTCGTGAGACATCCAACCTTTTATGTCGCTTTTACATAAAGAAAATTTGTTAAAGCAAAGTAAAAAATGTTAGTGCATCAAATAAAGATGTGAGAGCAAGTGTTGGATGTTTGGGTAAATGCTATGGATTTTGATGAAGTGAATGAATATCAAAATTGTTTTGTAGCCCTTGAAGTTGTTTGTTCTCTATGACATGTGTGTTTATTGAATATGTGAATGGCATATAGTTAATTTCACATAAGGAAAAGTTCATTAAGACATTAACTGATAAAGTAATACACTTAGGAAACATTACAAGTAATACTATGATGATTCACAACATGCATTTTATTATAAATATATTTAATATATGGTACTAATTATAATTTTGTATATAGAGTTGCATATTGGAGCCTCGAAAGAATACTTCAAAGTAATGTAAAAGACTTGTGTTATTGTTGAGATTTAATGAATAATATGATAACATTACTACATAATGAGATTAAAGCTTCATTTGGAGAAGAGTCTTTATGTGGTAGGTCATATGTCTAACACCACTAGATATAAAAATTTTTAAGGTTTTGTCTCAAAATATGCATTAAGTCATTGTTAAAGAGTATGATCAAGTCGGGTATGTTGTGATGGATAATAAACATTGTTGGTACACACTTATATCTACATATGGTATTCCTTGTGTTGGTCAATTAGCTTCATATGATGTTCGCAACATATCACTAGCTTTGGTGCATGTCATATGGATTCGATTAATCATTTCTAATATCTCATCAAATGATGTAATTGTTTATTTAATAGGAATTTGACGTTATCTTTTTAAGAATTTGACATTGTTAGAAAAGTTAATATAAAAAATAAGCTCCACAAATTACAAACCTATATTTTACATTGTTGTGTACCCTAGGTGGAGAAGGTCAAAACAAAAGATAATGATAATAAACTTGTTAAATTTACTAAGCATGACCCATCTTATTTTGAGTATGATAATACGTTACATTTTCAACATGATATTTCATCTTCTTGGAAGTCAAGCAAGGGACATGTCAAACATTAGTTGCCCAACAACAATCTTGATGTCAAATCAATTTCTTGCTCCATTTCATCCATATATATTTAATTTATTGATGTGAAAGTTGATAGACATTGTAGTTATTATGATGTTGCTACATTATTAAGTATGAGTGAAGATTCATGATCTCTTATTTGAATAAACTTGCATAAAGAACTTATTGAGTAAATCATAAATATATACATTTATTTGAAGGTGATGAACATTTTAATTATTTTACAAAAATCATTTCTTATTGATGAGATGACCTAGGTAAAACAATTAACTAAATTATAATGGTCTACTTCTTTTATAATATATATGACTATATTTTAATTATTTTTATGTAAATATAAATAAGTGAATGATTATTCCTAATATGGAAATATGTATTACAAATTTTTATAATTATCCTTGTATGTTTAATTATAATTTTCCTATTTAAAAAGGCATCCTCTAACACCGATATATCGTTTTATTTATATTCATCACGTTTATGTGAATCATTTTGTCTAAGTGTAACTTTTTTTTAACGTGCGGACAATTACATATAGCTACTCATACAATTCAACTACTCCTCAAAACACATGTGTCATAAGTGCTAAGGTTTTAAAATAGACACAAGTATGATACAATAATAAAAGTCACACTTTTTGTTAAAAAAAAAAAATGACCGGTGCATCAAATATGCTCCAGTTACAATAATTCTATTGTTTATGTATACAAATATCATTATAAAATTTTCGGAATTAACTAAGACCAATATATTCACCTCCCCGTCTCGTCATTGCATAAAATTTTGTTCTTGTAACAAAATGCATGAAATTTTTGGATCCATGTTAAAAATATCAATGATTCAAATCATAAATCAGGACCAATAAATTTCTAGCCTATGATGGTGAAAACAAATGCTCTTGAAATGATTATGGAAGTGCAGGGCTAAGGAGGGGCAGTGAGCGAAAGAAGAAAATAAGATATCATATTAGGATTTAAAGGTTAAAAAATATAAAAAGATATTTTTATTATTTTATATATATTATAAGAAAATAGAAATAAAATATGAAGTCCTAAAAAAATATGCCTTTAAAAATGAGCTTAAACTTAATTTATTCTATCCAATAATTTAATTTTAACCAATAAAAATTAATTTAACTTTTTTAATAAACTTTAGAAAGAACATTGTTGGAATAGACCTATTTACATAATATATTAATAATAAATTTAAAAATATATTGTAATGATTATTATTCTCTCGTAAACATTTTCGTGTTAACAATTTGATTAAATATTATTAATAGACTCAAATGGTTAAATTTAAAAAAATTAAATATACAATACAATTTTATGAAAACTAAAACTACACATTTACGTAACCATGAGATGAAAAAGTAGATTTAAATCTCCTTATAATAATTAATGAAAATTGTATAAAAAAAATAATCATTAATGAAATTCTTTGGAAGAGAAAGTGAGTTACACGCTCAAGGAACGTAGAGTGGTTGGCACATTTGTTACAAAAAGAGATGGAGAAGAAGAGTATCCAATGATTGTTAGAGAAAATGTGTCTCATTATGACGCCACAAATAAATAACGCGCACGAGCGCAATTATGGGAACACGTTTTGCCACGTGGTATCATCACATGCTAATGCACCACATCACAACTCACGCATGTTTTACACGTGGTACCTTTTTTTATCTCTATCACGCGTCACCATGCGTGCAATAAATAAAATATTTTTACTGAGTAATAATTAAATATATATTATTCAATTAAAAAACTAAGTAATTATATTGTATATATCTTTAAGGAATTATCTAATATATATACTCACTAGTTTATTAGAAAAAAAGGATGGTTATAAGTTACATTCAAATGTATTTAGAAATTAATTATAATCTCAATTCACTAACATATTTTAAAAAAAAGTAAATTTATCTATAACTTATAATTATATATAAAAAATTGCTTTTGTAACTGTTTTTATTTATCATCCAAAAAAAGAAAAATAAAAATATTGTAATTTTTAAAAATAATTATTATGATTTATATATTTAAAAATAGTATGAATATGAAAAAAGTAATAAAAAAATAAATATATTTAAAGAGTGAAAAAATAGAATAAAATAACATTTAAAATAATATTTTAAAATAAATTAATCATAAAAAATATAAATACACATAATTTAGTTCCTGTATTTCTATTGCTTATAATATTTTTTCGGTGTCATGAAAAAAAATGTTATAGTTAAAAAAATGACTATAATTTGTATATTTAAAAAATAATAAAAACATGAAAAAATAAATATATTTAAAGAATAAAAAATTTAAAATAATATTTTAAAAAATTAATTATAAAAAAATGAATATGTAGACACTTAATGTCTGTATTTTTAATAATATTAATAACTCTCTTTATAAAAAGATGGTTAATATTTTTTTTAATTTAAGCTCCAAAAATTATGAAAAAATAAACTTACTTCTTATGGTTGATTTAAAATATATAAAAGTAACACTTTTATTAAGAAAAAAAATTAAATTTAATGACCGATATTAATATTTAAAAAAAAGTGAGTATTTTATAATTTTTGAATTTCACTATTTGAAATATCACATTGTGTATTTAACTAACGTAATTCAAGAAAAAGAAAACTTAATTATTGAGGGATTGTTGGATACTTTTCAGTAAATTAAAATGTTTGTACTCTTCACGTATTTTCTGTAACCAATTAGGTGCTAATTATTAGATTAATGTTTGGACAAAATTTAAATAAATATTATTAGAATTGATAAAAAGTAAAAAGATTACGTAATGTGAAATTAAAAAATAAAATTAAAAAGCATCCGTCATTATAAAATGAAGGGATAAAATAAATTTTGATATAAATTTTGTATAATTAATGAATTTATTTTTCATTATATGGAATTCATCCAATAATTAAAATAAATAAAATGTTAAATTGTAATTTTATTTTGTAATGGAGTGTGAGTTGGCATTGGCATGACATTGAAAAGCCATGTCACTCTTTTTGTTTCACTATTTAGCCACAGTGGGACCCACTTTGAATGATATCACATGAAAATTTATCATCATCATCACTATGATGAGATCATGATTCCAATGTGAAACCACATCTTACACACTCAACGGTCAACCGTGAAAAAAGCCATTTTTTCGTCTTTAACTCAACAGAAAACACAAAAACGACGTGATTATCATAGACAAATCAAACGATAATTAAAATTATGATTCTTAATATAAACAATTGATCATAACAAAATTTAAGATATTTTTATTATCCTTTTTATGTTAAAATAATATATTTTAGTTATATTATAAATCAAAAAATTAATTTTAAAGTCCTTAAATTTTTTATATTAGTAATTAATTAATTTTAAGGTATTTAAGTATTTTTTTTATATGTGACTAGTATACATATAAAACAAAAAAATCATGGAGGATTAAAATATACGTAATTTTTAAGATTTAATTCTATTTAATGAATATCATAGTAACATATATTTAACTAATGTATTATATTTAACAAACAGAATTAATTTTTTATACAAGATTAATAAAATTAAACAACATAGTTTTTTTTAATTAATGTGTAATTTTATATTTTATTTAATTTTTTTAATAAAAAGAAAACTCCATATTAAAACAATTAGTATAAAAGGTCATAATCTCAAGATAGATAATAATGCATGATTAAACAAATGCATAAAATATTTTAACTTGCATTGCAATTAAATCAAGAAATTAATGTTGGTCAACATTAGAAATACACAAACCCTAAATTAGGTAAGTTACTGCTCTCCTCATTAACCTCCAACCCTGTGCAATAAATGAATTTCCTAACCTCAGCGAACAAGAGTTGAAAGGTGCATCATTCTGATTTTCATGGCACAAGAAAACACAACCATGGTTAAAAAAGAAACCACATTCCCATTTGGACTTTTTTGAAGTATAGGTAGCTAAACTTTAAAGCCTAGGACAACGTTGCTTTGTAGTACTAGTACCAGCCATTTCATATGATGATTGAACCAATATGGCTTTCTGACACAAGTCATCATTAACTCTATTGTGCCTATTTACTCTTTCTCAACTTTCTCTATCTATCTATCTCTTTCACCACTCTCCTCCATAGTATCTATCTATATATACATATATAACTCTCTGTTCTGTTCTTTTACTGTTCTCCAAAAAGCTTCTCCCACTTTGCTTCTCTCTTTCACACAGTAAAAAATCAAACAAAGCTCTTCACTTTGGGACTACACAACAATGTGTGAAAAAGATGATGGGTTGGGGTTGGGGTTGGGTTTGGGGTTGAGTTTGAGTTTGAGTTTGAGAAAGGGAGAAAATGATGATAATAATCTGAATCAACTACACCCTTCCAACATGCACAAAGCTCCTCAACCTGTTCCAAACCAAAGGGCTTCCTTCAATAATTTGTTCCATTTCCATGGTAAGTTCTTAATCCTAATCTCTCCATTTTTTAATTCATTTCTTCGTGTTTTTTTAACTAGTTCCATTCCCATGGTATGTTCTTGTTCTATATTTCTCTCTCTCAATTTTTCATGGTATAAACTTGTTCCATTTTCATGGTATAGGTCCATTGCCACGGCTTTTAGATTCCTCCAAATGGTTGTTTTTTCTTTCAAATGAACAAAAAAATCATTCCTTTTTCTTCTTTTATATACATTTTTTTGTTGAACGCATGTCCCATTTTTTTCATGCGGTGAAGAACACTCACCCTTTAATTTTTTGTTTGATATTTTAGACGAAAATCATGCAATGAGGAACACAGGTGTTTTGTTGTTTTCATTTTTTAATTTATGATTTAAAGCACTATTTTGTTCAGAAATAGCCTTTAATTTCTGTGTTAACTACGCATTTTGCCACTGACCCAGGTGCGTCTCACGTGACCGATCGGAGCTCCGAGCCGCCGCCGTTCTTCTGCGGAATAGACGTCAACTTGCCGCCACCACCACCGTCGATGGCACGGTGCGATGAGGACAACGGCGTGTCGTCGCCGAACAGCACAGTATCGAGCATCAGCGGGAAGAGGAGCGAAAGAGAGGAGAATGAGAGAGGGTCGTGTTCTCGTGGCGGAAGTGAAGATGATGACGGCGGAGGGTGCGGTGGCGAAGGCGACGGTGACACTTCGAGGAAAAAACTGAGGTTGTCGAAGGAACAGGCCTTGGTACTGGAAGAAACGTTCAAGGAACACAACACTCTGAATCCGGTGAGTCAAAGATAATGAATGACATTGTTGTAATTTCAATTGCAATGTTAGTGCCTACTTGGAATAACCAAATTTGTTACTGCAAAACTTAGATTCTGTTTCTTTAAGTGCTTCTGGTTTCGTTTGATTAGAATTGGAGTTTATGCAACGTGCTATGAAAGGTTTCTGTTCAAATAGATTTATGATTAAAGAACAACACTAATAACACTTATGGAATCGTATCCAAGTCTTGTTCTCTCTGGAATTGAATTTTATTTTACTCTGAGCTTGTCCTTTGTTCTTTCGATCAATGGTTCTGCAGTCCTGGTTATTATGAATGTGATCCTTAGAAAATTGTTGTCAAAATTAAGCAGGACACAGTACATTTTGGCCGGAACTGTGGTCGAAGTTACATAAAACCAAACACCTTGCAGCTGAAATTGTGGTTGCGGTGGTATAACGCCAAACACCTTATATTTTGGCTGGAATTGTGGTCAAAGTGACATACACCTTGCGGCTGAAATTGTGGTGGCGGTGATATAAAACCAAACACATTAGATTCCGGCCAAAGCTGTGGTCATAGTGACATAAAACCAAAAACCTTACATTGTGGATGAAATTGTGGTTGCGGTCATCTTCTTAAAACCTTGCATAAATTCTTCAAATGAACAAAGAACTACTCTTATTTTAGCATACTTTTACTACTTAATCTCATGAAAATTTTTACTCTAATGTCCCACTTTGTGATAAATCATTCGGGCTTTCTTCTTTTCCACAAAATGGCAATAAAAATATTGAGGACAGTGATTGGAATTGTAAAAATCAGCTACTAAAGCAAACTTTGGTTATAGTTTCAGGATAGAATGAGGTTTATTCTAAATTATATTTTTTCAATAATAGTTTTTATTTGTGTTGGAAATATGATTCAATGCTGGCATTTAGTCTTAAATTGTTTTTACTTTTATTTTGTAGAAACAAAAGCAAGCTTTGGCAAAGCAGCTGAATCTGAGTCCTAGACAGGTTGAGGTCTGGTTTCAAAACAGAAGAGCAAGGTGAGAATTCTCATCCAAGGGGCATTATTGACATTTTTGTACATGATCACTGAATGCTCCATATTGTGTTGTGGCATTGTTTATTGTCTTTCTTAAATAAGTTTCTTTTACTTGTATGCACCACTGTGTTGTTATCCATTTAGAAGGTTTTGTTGTTCCTCATCAGTGTCATTCTTCTTTAACAGCAACTTCAAGATAACTCCAACATTCATAATGAGATTTGACCAATTTGAGACTGATCAATAACACAACTTTTGTGAGACGTGAAAAGATATAAACTTGTAGATGATTTATATTTTAATTTTTTTTGAAACCACAGGCATAGGGAAATAGCTTACATGTGTATGCTCGGGCCCATGGCACAACAAACATGTAGTAATTTGGTGATCATGAATTTTGAAGTCAAGTTTTGGAATCTTTGGTGTTTACTTGAGTTCATTGATTTTTTCATTAGTTAATGGAAGTACATAAACTTCCAGTTTTACAATGATAAACTAATAAAACTGATAATAAACTAAGGTTTGATTGGCAATGAAAATTGATGTGGCTTTGTTGTTGTTGTTGTGTGTCATGTCATGTATTACTTTGTCATGCATTGTGTAATGAAAAGAGGAAAGTGATGTCAATGCTCTTGGTTCAACAGGACCAAGCTGAAGCAGACTGAAGTGGATTGTGAATACTTAAAGAGGTGCTTTGAGAATCTAACTGAGGAGAATAGGAGGCTGCAAAAGGAAGTGCAAGAGCTTAGGGCATTGAAGTTATCCCCACAGCTATACATGCACATGAACCCTCCCACCACTCTTACAATGTGCCCTTCCTGTGAGCGTGTTGCTGTCTCATCCGCATCCTCCTCCTCATCAACTGCCATTCCTTCTGCACCACCTCCGGCTCATCGCAACCCGTTGGGGTCTACTGTCCAGCGGCCAGTGCCAGTCAACCCTTGGGCAGCAATGTCAATTCAACGCCGTCCACTGCCATAATCAGGATGGAAGCTAAGACATTTTTAGGTGGTAGACAGAAATGAATCAACAAATAGCAATGCTATATGTTGGTTACTTGCTAGATCTTGGGGTTGGGAAATTGTATTTGCTCCCTATTTTTCTGTTGCACTTTCCTTTTTAATTTATATTCCAAAAATTGATTTCTGGAATGCACAATACTTTTCTAGAAATTAGTTTTTGGATTGTATAATACAATCCTGAAAATACATTCCAAAAACTAATTTCCGGAATGTAAAAAAAGTGGGGATAGTGAAGAGGAAAAAGGGAGCAAATAGAATCATCATGGTTTTGGCTATTAACTCTTTTTGTCTAGGCTTATTTTATTTTGAGCCTGGATAGAACATGCTTTAGTCAACTTTAGGATGTGTAAAGTTTGGATATGTTAAAGTAGGTAGTGTTTTCATATGCTGAATAGTTTTTACCTTGGAAAGATGGAAAAGGGAATTGGAATCATGTGTTTTATTTTATTTAAATTGTTCCTTTTCATAGGATTTGTGATGCCACATGGTGAGATGAGAGGTGGGATTTTGTGCAAGATAGGGTAGAGGGACAATATCAAAGGGATTCCCATGAAAGGATAATGAGTGTGGTCTCAATTAGAAATGATTATCTCTATCTTTTGCTCTGATTCCCATCTTTTTGGTCTAATATGCTTGGGACAAGGGGTTGGGTGAGTCAGATTGTGGGACTCAACTTTGGCTCTTTGTGCACACTTCATTCTCCTTAAGATGTGGATTTCCAATACCCTTTTCCAAGAAGTGAACAACAAACACCAAAGGTAAAATGTGTGTGGTTAAGCACTAGTGAGAGGTGACAGTGCTTGTATCATCATCACGTGTGTGTTCGCGTGAAAGTAAAGTTTTTCAAAGAGAGAAGTAACTAACCAACAAGCATGATTAAAGGTAGCATCAGGGGCCACATCATGGCCATGACTACAACTTTCATGTTGTAACTTTGGCCAATGCCGTTTTTGAGAGTGTTTCCTTTTTGGATTTGACTTTGGTTTTTGGTTTATGCTCTCATTATCAAATTTGTAAACAAAGAATTGTATGTGGGTGGTGCTGTGTGAGATTTGATCCACTAACAACTCTTCAACTATTATTTTGACCTTTTATGGTCACTTCGATTCCACTTTAATTTCTCGTTTCTTGCGAAAGATCATATTACCACACTTTGAGTAATATAAAACCTATTTATCCGGTGTCACGTGTCCATGTTCAGTGTAATGTGAGTTCACTTTTTTTTCTCACCCTCTTTACTTTCTTTTTCTGCTGAGGTTACACAATTTTTTAGCACGAAACAACCCTCTTCTAGTGTATTAAAAAGGGAAATTCATATATTTTTTTAATGTGTAATCCTTCTGGTATGTAAAAAAAGGGATGCACCAAACAATAGATTTTAGCATACAACTCTATAATTAGAATGAGTTTTTATTTGTCTAATTGTTAAAAATAGATTTTAAGCTAACTTAAGAAAAATAGATTAACATTACCAAACAAGGGTACGTAGTTGATTATCATAATAATATATTATTTAAATACATGGATAGTTTGGGAATTATATTTTTTGAAAGTAAAATAAAAGGATTTTTTTTTATTGAATACATGCAATTTGGTCAGCTTATCACGAAATTGCTACATCCTTTTTTAAAAAAAATTATCAACTTGGTAAATTGTACTATGTAGAATGAGTTTATAAGGAAAATTCGTATTACATCATATAAGTTCTTTATGTTTATTTTTATTTTTCTTCATTAAGAAATTGTGACATATGACACGAATTTGACTTAATATTGAAGTCATGAAGTCATGTGATACGAGTTTTTTATATTTTAATTGATGACAGGAGTTTAATTATTTTTTTAAAATCATAGTAAATAACACAAATTTCTTGTTTTTTTTTTATGAAAACTAGTTTTGTGTTTTTTAGTATAATTAAAATTTATAATAAAAAATATAATAATATTTTAAAAAATGAAATATATTAATATTAATAAAAATGATTTACATTATACAAAGTTAAATTGAAAACTATTTAGTGTTGAAAGACTTGTTTTACAAAGTGGTCTTTGGTCCCTTCAAGTCTTTCATTTTGTTGAAGTTCATGACTCTCTTGTGCATATGTGTCATTAGTATCATCTTTCTATGTTGGATTTTGAGGTGTAGGCATTGTTGGTCTGTAGTAATCCATGAATCCAACTTGTTGATATGCTGACGATGGTGTCATAAAAGTGGTGACAAAAATATTTGATCAAGAATGCATCATATTAAATGTGCAAGGGACATGTCCTCCGAAATAGTTTTCTCTAGTAAGATTTTGAAGTTGATCCACATAATCATAGAATGAACTAGGTTACTAATAACTTGACGGACCAGATTGGTGATAGTTTGACGAATCACGTTGTTGATAATAACTTGTCGTACCAAGTTACTGATAAGTAGATAGACGAACATGTGGATAATTTTGTTGAGGTGCTTGGTATTGTTGTTCCTCTTGGACTATATCATACTACTAAAAACAAATGTTTAAAATTAATATTTGGGATAACAATGTAACCAATTGAAATAAATAATATTTCATACTTACTTCATCATTTGTATGTTGTGCTTATTGAGTGGAAATGCATCGTATTATGTGTTGAAAATATCATTGCATATAAAACGTATTTTCATGCAAATGTCTATTTCTGTTAAACGATTAATCTTAAATTAATCGATTATGTTATGTTAGAAAATTTTGGTTCATGTATATATATGATACATAATTTAAATGTGTTAGGGTCATTATTTATTAAGTCAAATAATAAAGTGATCTAACTAAATTAAAATTTTGGCTAAAGACATATGTCATGAAAATAAAATTATGTAGAGACCATAAAGTAATTTCTAATTTGATGAGGGGCCAAATTAGAAATACTAAAACTTAAGTAATTAACCTAATTCTGGTTATTTAAAGAGTCATGGTCCTCTTCTGAGAGCACACACAGAACGTAAGTTTCAGTTCTCGTTCATTTCTTTCTATCCCCATCAAGAGAGAAAATCCAGAAGGAAAATAAAGGTGCTTTTCAGGTGGAAGACTATAAGATCAATAATGTTCTAAAAGGGACATCATCATTATGGCTAATTCAGGTACGCTTTCGCATTCAGTCTACAACAACATGTTTATGAGTATGAGATAAAGTTTATGTTTGATCGTTAGAATCAAAATCAGGATCATAATTATTAGTTTTCTAACAATTAGTATCAGAGCCAACGTCACAAGTTTGATTCCTGGTGGGCAATTGTTAAGGAGGAGATTGTTGTGGGTTGCACAATTGTCCCGTGGCGGAGGCTAGGTGGGCCAAGTCACAATCCAAGTGAGATTCCTTGTAGGACAATTGCTGAGGGGGAGATTGTTGCAGGTGACATCAATTGTCCCATGGCGGAGGCCGGGTGGGTCAAGTACTCTTAAGTAAAAAGAGTTACGCTCTGACTAATGGCTATAACTTTTGGCCTAGTGGTAAGTGTTTGATCCTAACAATTGGTATCAGAGCTGCCCATACTTGATTCATGTCTGTCTTAGGAAATATTTAAAAATTCAGATTCTGTTTAATTTATAAAATTCTAATTTTCATGAACCCTAAAATTTAAATTTGGGGGTAACATCCCCAATCTGATTCTGCTCGCTGATGAAACCGTGGAGGAGACCCCAATTTTTATCCGAACGCGCTGATCCATTGTGCTATGCGATCCCCAAATTGGCTAATTCAGGGTTTCTTAAAACCCAATCAATTTCATCATAAAGAGATAAAGTGTCATCATTGTAGCAGAGGAAGCTATGGATTCTTCTTCTTCTTCTTCTTCTTCGTTTTTTACCTTTTGTTTCGGTTTAAGTTTCATGTTTTATTGAGAAAGAAATAATGTTTCAAGTTTCAATCTTTCTTGTATTGGGTTCTCTGTTCTCTTTGAATCTTTTGTTTTTGTTTTTTTTTTCTAGGTTTTATTTGCGCTTTCTTTTCATGGTGAATATGAATGAGTTTGGAATTGGGAGTGATGTTGGGGGAGTTCCCAACACAGAGGATCTTAAGCAACTAGTAAATATTTCCACAGGTGTGACTGTTCTTATTTTATTACCTTTATCCTCTGGGGGTTTAAGGGAAGTTGATGTTAAATTCTCTATTTAGGGTTTGAGTGATTACCATTTAATCCCCTTTTAGGGTTTAGGTGGTTGCACTGTTTCTTGAGCAGTGTGTTAAAGAGGGTCAGAATTATCTCTGTTTCATCCCTAGTTGATTCTAGGGATGTGTTCATCCTTAGTGGGATTCTAATGAGGTGATTGTCTTTTGAATTAGTTTGCGTTGTTAACTCTAAATAAATAAATATTAAATATTTGGTTTTGTTATATAAATAAAATATTCAATTTTTTGGTAGTTTAATATTTTTTATAAGCAAATTGAGTTAAGAAGTCACCAAAATAACCTCTCTTGAATTGGTAGTTCGTGAAAAATATGAATGTTAGTGTTTGTGTATATCCATGCGAGTATTAGTCAGCCCAAAGGAAGATTAATATTTAGCCAAATTGCATACACACTTGTAATGATAAATATGTGATAATTATAAGGATTTGCTTTGTCGATGATAAATCAATCCAAATACTTGGTTTGTTGTTGGACGTGCTTTATTGTCAATGTTTGATCATTACAACAAGATACCTCAAGCGATTAATATTACTTGTCCAAAGACTTGATATTGATGGTGCATTGGGTTTCTTGAGATGGGTTAAACCATTATTTGAATATATATATATATATATATATTTATAATTATTTATGTTTATAATGTGAAAATAATTAGTTTGTTTCTTTTGTTTTTAATTTAGCTACAATTACTTCTGTAGTCGCCAATTTAAATTCTCGTTCTCATCCTCAAAATTATGTTTTCTACTTTGGTCTGTTCTAAAGTCAATTTAGTGTCGAGTACCTAGTAACACTTAGTGGTTAG